GACGACGAATTTTTAGGAAATTTTTTAGAAAGCTTCCCCATTTTCTTTATCCGCAGTGTAATGATGAAACTTTCTCAAGTACTGCGGCGGGGGAAACAGATTGAAAGATTCTAACGATACAAATTTCTGATTATTTCGTTCCTCTTCAATTTTATGTCTCCTCTTTCTCACGAAGATGAATAACATTGGGAAGGTGAAGGCCGAGGAATGTTTGCAGAGAGAGTTTCACGTCACGCGTCCAGAGATGACAAACTACGCGGAACACCTCTCTCGCCGGAAGACAATGGGTCAGTCTGCAAGAAGGCTGCCGTTGTCGAGTAACCGATCTGTCACAGCGGTACGTCTCACCTTAATCGGCTCCGTACAAAGCTACCCTGTTAATTAATTACCAGAAGCTTCGTATTCGCTCGTGACGCGTGCAGTTTCCGCGATGTTCGTCCCCTTTCGAGACCGAAGTACATAAGGTGGTAAAACTCGAGAAGCGAGAGTCTGGTCTTCACAGAAGTAGCATCTCGTTTCATCACCAAAAATCAGGCGGCCCTTTCCTAAAAACTGCCAGTTCCGGGAAAAAGAAGTCGAGGTAGAAACACGATTCTCCGTGGCTAGGCGAAATTTCTCGGGGGCCGAGGTCCCGGGAGAGCGAGCTCGGTCCTCGTGGGTCTCTCTCTCACCGGCACAATACGTCTCATTATGTTATCCGCGCATCTCTCGACACGGCCATTTATCATTCCTCCGCCCGTATACCGATATATCGATCCTCTCCTTACGTGTGTAAAACTCTCCCGGCCTCTCTGGGCCCTGTCGTCCCGGCCGTTCGTCCTTTCACTCTCCTCTCCTCTCCTCTCATCTTTTCTTTGTCTATTACGGGAACGCAGTTGCCTCCTCCTCGTCTCGAAAGGAAGGTGCTTTCGCTCGCTCGCTCGCTCGCGCCCGCCACCGCGTGGAAAACAATCGGGCCAGCGATCGTGCGAACGATAGAGGATCGCTTATGAATATTGTATCGAGGAGAGTTCCTCGCGTGGGCCAAAATAACGATCTTTCCTTCTTCGAGATCGACGTATGTAAATAGCCATCGGTGGAATGGGAATTCCTTGCTCGAACTCTCCTCTGGCCCCCTGATTTTCGACGAATCGATCGTCTTGACGAGTCGAAGTCAGATGAATTCGTGCACGACGCGCGAATATCGGCGAATCTCGACGTATTGAAGACACCCCGGTGGGTGGTCCAATAAATATATATATATATATAT